CAGTTGCTACAAACCTCATAGTTTCTGGTCCTGAGGCCTGCAAGAAACATCTCATGTGTGTGCTAATGAAGAGAATGTGATTAAGAACGTCTCTTGCTTTCATGCTCATCACAGACCAATACAGCACGAAACTACAATGCAATTGAGAAAAAATAGGTCTACGAGGAACCAAAAGAATCTGCATTCACATGAACAGTTCCCTGGAGGTTTACATAATCTGAAGGTCAAGTTTAAAACCGAATATTGAGTGGGCTGCAGGACCTCAGGCAATCTTTTATAACAGGAGCCCAAATTAAGGAGGTGAGATTTGAGAAACCTCAATGGAATAATATTTATTCAACAAACACCTATCAAAAACACAAGGCTTCTCTGGGGACTTGTGCTCGGACCTAGGGATAGATGAATGGATAAATATGAGCCCTGCCCTCGAAATACTCTCGGTGCATTGGAGGAGACGGAGGAGGAGGGCAGCCTGGTAAATACAACATGTTGCACCACAGAGGAGAGGGGAGAGGAGCTGACCTCATTCTTATCTACTCAGTCAGGGCTCGGGGCAGTGGGGTGGGGTTCCTCTGGCATCCTGCCTCTTTCAGGTTTCCGTCTTTCCCCTTGTCCATCCCCCTGTTCCAAGAGCAGCAGGAAGCGAGGGAAATGTGGGCATGTCATAAAGCAAGGTGAACTGAGAGGAACAGGAGATTTCTGGGGGAACAGGGTCCCGTCCTCTGCGTGTTCTGAGCTCTCTCCAGGGCGGCCGTGACTAACGTCTGCTGTGTTTTCTCKCAGCCCAGGACCAGGCTATCCGCCTGCCTCTTCCCCGCAGGGTAAGTCCACTGCTTGCCCTAACTGTTGGGTGAGCCTTTGACGCCTACAAAGCCAGGGGCTGATTTCAAGTCATTTGATGAATTTACAAGAGAAAGAAGACTTTCCAATTGGCTTACTTCCCTGGCAAGGAAAAGTGCGCTTCAATCCTTGGGTTTAAAACTATGTTCTAATTCCCGAGTCATAACATAAAGATTAAAAATTAATTCACATCATTGTGAAGGTTGAAAAAGGTGAAGATACCAACACACTGTCCTGGTGAGTATGTTGTGTAAAAGGCACTTTGTTCATTGTGAAATTTTAAATTGAAAGAAACTTTCTAGAAGCAATTTCACAATATTAACTAAATGATATAAAATACACGATTTTTGACCCAATAATTCTGTGATTAACAGTATAAAACTAAGGAACTAACCTAAATTTCCGATTACACATTTAAACACATTCACTGATATTTTGTAATAATATATTCTAAATGGTAACACATTGGAACAAAGCTAATTATTCAGTAATACAGAAATAGTGGAATGTCTTATATCCACTTATGAAGCCATTTGAAATATTTACAAATAATTTTAAAAACTAAAAAAAGATTAAAATTTAGAACACTACTCAAATATCTACTATTACAAGTAACTGTATTGTTAAATTATATATGCATATAATTTAAATAGCTTATATATTCACACATGTTTAGATATAGGTGAAATCTACATCTAAAATCATTGACTTGTTACTCTGAAGTACTTATTTAGAATTTTTATTTAGGCCATGGACCCCTACCCAGGAGACACACACACACACACACACACACACACACACACACACACAAGCACACAATATTCTTTTAAATAAGGAGGCTCATGGACAGTGAATATTGAACATGCAATTAAGAACCCTTGAGACTTACAGATAATAGATAAAAAATTATAGATATGACTCATCCCCAACAAATCTTTCACTCTTTCACTCCTTCTGTGTCTCTCTCTTTCTAGAAAGAAATAGATCAARATATTTATATCCACCGCTGGGGAAGAAAGTCTGGTCAGCCTTTGATACCTACAAACTTGTAGTTCTTGGTGGCTTCCGGCCACCACCTGCCCCCATGGAGTCTAGCCAAAGGGTTAGGTGAAAAGCAGGTTCTTCTAACAGGCCCCAGATTTCCCCCAAAGAGGCCATGCCCATGGCCCTAACAGTGCACCTGTTGTCCTTCCACCAAAGTCCATCTGTGGGCTCCCGAAGGGGTCCCCTGCTGTCTTCCAGCAAAGAACTCAGTTTCCATGCAGTTCCAGAGCCCAGCTCCGTGTCCCTCTGCCATGTCTGCAGAATTTCACTTTCCAGAAGCCTTGCCCAGCCCTGGGCCCTGGCTCTGCCCAGTCCAGACATCAGTGAGAGGGAAGCCTCCTAACATATACTGAGCTCTCCTTACAGAGCAGATGCCAAGTGGAGCCTTCATGGGCATCTCCTCAGTTAACCTTTGACAACCAAGGACCAAGTAAAACAGGCTTAGTCATCTCCAGTTTACCGACTGGGCATCTGAGTGAGGAGGTCAAGTAGCCTCCACAGTCAGAAAGCAAACCACAGTTTAGACCTACGACAGAGCGACCACTGAGCCATGCTGTCACCCAGCTTCTTACCTGGTTTCACATCCAGGAACTTCCTAGTCCTAGCCCATCTTCCCTCCTACGCCAGGCGAGGAGACAGACTGAGGAGGGACAGCGCCCAGTCTCTGAGGCACAGCCCCAAGGCTGCCGTGAAAATGGTCCTGCTCCATCTCTGTGTCCCGTGGCTTACCCCTGTCCTTCAGGTGCCAGACTCTTCTCTTCTACCCCGTTCCTGCTGGGGGGTCACTGCAGGGCCCCTTGTCACTGGGCGCTTTCTCTGTTAAACTTGACAAGTTGACCGAGTCCTCTCTTCAGGGAAGACTCGAGGCTGGCCTTCCGCTGGGAGCAGGTGGTGGGAGACAAGGGCCAGCAACTGGAAGTCAAGATGGTGGTCCACAGACGCCTCAGCCCACTTCTTATGGTGTCCCTTGGAGAGCACGAGCTCAGGCTGCCCTCTGCAGCCTGACCTCAAAAATGCTCGGAGCCAAGGCAGCCCGGGGGGCCTCCCACCTGGGGACCTGGGGAGTCCCGCCTGCAGCACAGCGCACCTGGAGACGGGACTCATCCGTAACTCATCTTTACCAAACTTCTGTGATGGGGATGACAGGAAAGGCACAGACGTTGATCCCTGAGACTCTTTAGTAACCCACCTGAGGAGCTTAGAGAACTCCCTGAAAGGAGGCAGAGCTGGAACTTCCACTAGTCTGTCTCATCCCAGGTCCCTCCCTGCAGTAAACTCCCCCCTGGATTTCCCTGTTTACAGTTTAGAAGGCACACRAAACCTAAGCACATAGTAGTTAGCAAGGGCTAGAGGCTCCAAGAGGAGAGAGGGAGGTGGTTGGCAGGCTGGCTCCTCCCTGCTCTCACAGCACAGGGGCCTGGGGACCCCACTGGGCATCCACCATCACACACTCTGTTCACGACTTTGCCTTGGTTCTGGAACTGCATATAGAACTGAGTTCTGCACTGGAGCACGCAGGGGACCCCTTCAGGAGCCCACAGATGGACTTTGTTGGAAGGACACTAGGTGCACTGTTAGGGCCGTGGGTGTGGCCTCTTTGGGGAAATCTGGGACCCGTTAGAAGAACCTACTTTTCATCCGACCCTTTGGCTAGACACCATGGGGCAGGAGGTGGCAGGAAGCCATCAASAACCACAACTGAGAGAGTATGTACCAGACTCTCCAGACTTTTGTCCCCAGTGGTGGATATAATATTTTGGTCTGTTTCTTTGCAGAAAGAGAGAGACAGAGAGAGGGAGAGATTTATTTGGGATGAGTCATATCTATCCATTTTTATCTATTGTCAGTCTCAAGGGTTCTTAAGGCACTTCTGATTGCAAAGCTATTCTACAATGTTGTGTGACTGAATTGTGTGTGTATGTGTATGTGTGTGTGTGTGTGTGTGTGTGTGTGTGTGTGTGGCCATCTGATTCAAAAATAGGTTTGAAGTGGATCCCAGTAAAAATACCTTTATAACTAGACACATTATGGCATAAATAAAATTTTGAAATCACACACATAGGAATAATTATACCCTAAGCCTTGTTAAAATCTATTACTTTAGGCACTTATTTAACAATCTTATATAAAGAATCTACTGTGTGTGGAAGAAAAAAAAAAGGGAAAACCCAAATACAGTTAAGGGTATAAAGCAACAACTTAGCTTTACATGTTCAGCCCTTGAGAGTAAAAACACCRAGTCCAGAGACATCAGAGGCCCACGTGGAGGTGCGAGGCTGGGACTGGGAAGAAATGACTCTCCCTGCAGAACCATTAGTCTCATCCTGGGCTTACACTGTCCCCACTGCCCTATCTGGGTAGCAGTCCACCCAAGGAATGTCCTGGATGCTCTGCTCTTCATTTTGGGGGCAGAGAAAAATTTTAAATTTCTGGTGCTGGGTTCCAGTATGGGTATGGGAAAAAAAAAAATGTTCTGTTTCTGCCCGGCAATGGCACCTATGACCTGTGCAGCTTTAGCAAGTCACCGACTCCAGGTTCCATAGTTTTAAAAGAGAGATAAAATTTCTTTATTCTGAGGACCAAATTGGGGGATGTGCATGAAACTAGATGTTTCTGTCTTCCTGTGTTTTTGACTTTGTGTGATGCTGTTTAGATCTTTCAAAACTTCAGCATTGATGGGCTCAATCCCATCTTTGGCACTTGAACTTCTCTCAGGCACAAATTAAAGACTAAAATTGGTTTTAGGGAAATGTTGATCATTCTGAGATCCAGGGAGGATGAATGATCCCTGGGTCACTCTGTGGTGGTGGAAGAAATCAAGAATTTAGTCATGACCCTGCTCACACAGGGTACCATGCTGGCTCCAGACCCCAGTGCATAGCTACTATGATGACCATTACATGTGAAGACATCTATTGAGGACTGGTACCCATTCCTGCCATTGCCAGGTGTCAGCCCCAGAGCCCTTGATATGTGCCTACATTGGTCTGCTTGGACCTCCATAACAAAATCCCATAGACTGGTGGCTTGAACCAGTTATTTTCACACAGTCCTGGAAAACAGAAGTCTAAAATCAAAGTGCCAAAGGGCTGGTGTGCTCTCACATTGGGTCACAGATGGCTGCCCTTTGCTGTGGACTCTCGTGCCCCACCCTTGGTGCATGAGAAAGCCACTGAGGTTTTGGTGGGGACTTTGATGAATCTGTATGTCAGTCTTGCTATCTTAGCAATATTAAGTCCTGTGTCTTTCCAACTTCCAACAACATTTTTGCAAATTTTAGTGCACACGTTTTATACTTCTTTTGCTAAATTTATTCTTAAGCATTTTATTCTTTTTGATGGTATCGTTAATGTCACTTTTATTAATTTTGATTTTTAAATCATTATTGCTAGTTTATAGAGATAAAAATTGTTATTGCTAATTTATACACATACATGGGATTTTATATCCAATTGGTCATTTAGTCTGATAACTTTCTGAATGCTTTATTAGTTCCAATAATTTTTAGTAAATCCTTTAGGATTTTTTTAATATATAGAAAATCATCACATCAGGGAATCGGAGCCCTCATTGCGTTCAAGTGCTCACATAATGACGTGGGGCTCACCCAAGTAACCCAGGATCAACTCCCGGTTTTAAAGTCAGCTGACTAACAACCTTAATTACATCTGTTCTGTCCCTTCCTGATAGTACCCAGGTAGGTATTTGATTGAATAGTCAGAGATAAGAATATTTGAGGGATGTCTTTAGAATTCTGCCTGTCACAAGAATTAAATTCCTACCTAAGACCCCAGGCCTTTGTATCAGTGAAGTTGCAGCTAAGGATCCCTGTCCCTCCCAGCCAGCTCTGCAGCCTCTGCCCCCTTCCAGCCTTGTCCCTTCCTTTGACTCCCTGGCATGTTGCTGCCCACCTAGGAAAGGAAATTCGCTGCAGCCCCGGATGTGACCGAATACCACAGTGAGGATGAGTATGAGGACCCCGAGCTCCAGATGGTGGACGTGTGGCCATCACTGAAAATTCTGCCCGCCAGGCCTATCAAGGAGTCCGAGTACGCAGGTAACGCGGGGCTGCCTCAAGCCTGAAGGTGCTCATCTGTGCTGCTGTACCCGGCAGGGATAAGGGGGCAGGTTCTGAAGTAAACAACCCTCAGTTAAGATCCTGCCTCCCTGGCTTCCGGGCTGTGTGACCTTGAGCACGTATCTGGAAGTCCCTTTCTCTATCAAACACGGGTTTTGTAATAATAGGACAGTTTTGTAGAAGATCTCATGAATGAGACATTGAGCTTGCACTAGAGGACCTGGCACCGAGACAAAGCCCCAAACTGTCTGCTGTCACTCTCACGATGAGGCCCTTCCTGAGCCCTGGGAGCATGGCAGAAGGTGGACAGGCAGGGCCGTGGGCCACGCGGGGAAGTTAAGATGGAGGTGGCAGGGCCAAGGAGAGGAGTCGAAGCTGGGGTTTTAGCTTGGCTGAGCAGCCTCGGAGGACCTCCAGGGCATGGCCGTGAATTCACACCCGCTAGGAGGAAGACCAGCTTCCCTTGCCTTGGCCTCCCCCCTGGGGCACGCAGGTCAGCATCCAGGGTTCTCCAACCTTAGCAAAACACACTTGGGAAAGGAAAGGGGGGCCCATGGGGTTCCTGAGGGCCTGGCGGTTTTTAAGAAAGAATCTGTGGCCATTTTTAGGAAAGAATCATCTTGCAAATAATGATGATGATGACCTTTTGTTCACTTACTGAAAAGGCATTCACCAAGTAACTGCATTGCTCCAGCTACCATTTTAGATCTGATCTGGTCACAGGGGCAAAGAAAGGGTAGCCATCCCCTCCTGAAGGTCTCCATCTAGTGGCAGAAACGGTGAACAGAGGAATAGGGGACACCCTGTCAAATGAGGGCCTGGGCTGGTGGGGGAGGACCTAGGGAGGGGGTGGCAGAGCGCAGGTTTTTGTTTTTTGTTTTGTTTTTAAATACATGACAGTAGAATGCATTTTGACATATTATACATTTATGGGGTACAACTCCCTGTTTTTGTGGTTGTACATCTTGTGGAGTTTCGCTGGTCATGTATTCAAATATGATCGTAGGCAAGTTATGTCCGAGTCATTCTACTGTCTTATTCCCATCCCCGCTTCCTTCCCTTCATTCCCCTTTGTCTAATCCAGTGAATTTCTGTTCTTCCCTGCTTCCACCCCTTGTGTGTCAGCATCTGGATATCAGAGAGAACACTCAGACTTTGGTTTTTGGGGGGATTGGTTATTTCCCTTAGCATGATAGTTTCAGGTCCATTCATTTACTGGCAAATGCCATAATTTCATTCTTCTTTAAGGCTGAGTAATATTTCATTGTGAATATGTGCCACATTTTCTTTATCTATTCATCTGTTGAAGGGCACCTAGATTGGTTCCATAGCTTAGCTATTGTGAATTTGGCTGCTATAAACTTCGATGTGGCCACGTCACTGTAGTATGCTGATTTTAAGTCCTTTGCTTACATGCTGAGGAATGAGATAGCTGGGTCAAATGGCGGTTCCATTGAAGGATCAGCAGCCTGTCTCAGGTGGATGAGAATATGAAGGACAGCCAGCCCAGACTTCAGCGTGGATTTGTGTGAACCCCAAGAGCAATTTCTCCTGTTGGCACCTCTCTCCTCAAGGGATAAGTCAAGGCGGGTGGATGCTTCATCCCTGTGTTGTGATGATTCTGAGTTTGTAGAGGTGTACAGATTCTGTAAGCTGGAGGGTCTGACTCTGCTGTTTTTCCTCTTTGCACAGATACGCGCTGCTTCAAGCRTGTGATGGACACTTCTCCTCCGCTTCACGCCAAGGCCTCTTTGCCCTCTCTGGGGCCATCCTGGAACATGTGGACGAGGCTGGAAGAAGTGAGTAAAGGCTGGACCATGGGACCCCCAACCTGAGCAGGGAAATTCCTAACTGGTGGGACCCTAGGGGAAGAGTGGCCCCAGCCAAGTCCCCAAGGCATCTCTCTAGGTAACAAGCAGGACAGGTTCAAGGGGTTAGGGAGCTGACACATGACTGGTAGGGTCCTGGTGCTATGGAAGCATCTGGAAGGAAGAACTAGCTTTTGTTGAAGGTTTGCCGTGAGCCAGGCATCAGGCCACGACTTACACGTACTTCTCATCTGATCCTCCTGCTTTCTTTGGAGCCAGGAGTTAACAATCAAATCATTCCCATCATCACATCATTTTTCCCAGAGTCTCCACCCAGTATCCTGAACTGCTCACTGGGTGGTCCAACCACCTCTCCAAGCCTCTCTGACCTCATGTGCAAAACAGGAATGAACATCCCTGCCAAGCTTGCTTCCAAGGGCCGTTTGGAAAACTACAACAGATAACTTTATGGAAGTATTTTGTAAATGGAAAGTATTTGTAAATGGATTTTTATTTTTAATAAGAAGCTTGCTAACATTTAATTTTCTTAATGAAGAAATGCATAAAATAGATTACTCATCGCCCACATCCCTGGGGCTGCAGCGTTATTGACCACAATATTTTGATGCATATCATGTCAATATTTTCTATGCAGCTATATTTCATGCAAAAGAATGCTTGTTGTATATGATATATACCTGGTTTTCTCTTCCTTTCACATTGAGAAAATTTTCTGTTTGATAAATAAGGGCTCAGAAGTAGTATTTTTATAGATCTGTCATACCCATTATAAAATTTTTAATTTTTCTTCTTAACCATTGAGTGAAAATATTTTAACAGTTTCTGTGACATGATTTTTTAAATTTTCTTCCTGAAAATTTGTTTCAATGTACCTCCCTAGAAGCCCTGTACAGGAACGTCCAATTTCCTGACCTCACACCAAAATGAGATATTACTTTTTTAATCATCTTTTTTTTTATAAAAGAAAGGATTTCACTGATAACTTTTTCTTTGTGTACTGTATGTTCACATTGTTTATGACTTGGGGACTTCTGTTAATACCAACAATGTCTCCATCTGTTTACCTGTAGCAAAATATCTGAGACTGGATACTTCTTGTTTCTCACCGTCTGGGAGCTGGGAAGTGGAGGTCAAGGTGCCAGCATCTGGCAGGGGTTTTCATTCTGTATCATGCCCTGGCGGAAGGGCAAAGGGGGGGGGTGCAGTGGAGGAGAAAGAGAAGGGGGCCACAATCTCCTTTCTGTAATGATGTAAACCCATGATGACAAACCCACTCCCAAGACAGGGCCTGAGTCCACCCAGGAGGGCGGAGCCCACACAGCTCAGTCACCTCCTAATGATCTCTTAATCTACTCCCATGGCATTCAATTCCACCCCAAGCTTCAGAGGGACACACATTCAAATTTCGACAGAGAAGAAAAGGAAGGTACACATTGTGCCAAACCATGCCACTTTCACAAGACCTATCCAATGAGACAGCAGGAGACGTGAGGGGCCTGCTCCCAGTTCTGCACAGCAGCAGCAAAGACACGCCTTCCCTGGACATGTCCACTCCAGAGCTCTTCAGCCTGCCAGGGGCACCTGTGATCACAGACCTGGGACAGTGAACACCGGATCCTGTGCTCGTGAAACTTACATGCCAGGGGGAGAAGGCGTCATAAGAAATAAGTGAGTGACGGATAGGCTCTGTGGCAAGTGCAGCATGCTTTGAAAAACATCGCTGAGGCAGGATAAAGGACCTCGAGGAAAGCCTTCCTCAATAGAGATCAGACTAAATGAATGAATGATGCATAATCCTTAAAATAACCTTGCAAGACGAACATTATCATTGAACAGTGGCGATTTTACAAGCTGCATGCCTTCTGGACAGCTACTCACCTTCTCTGAGGTGTCACGGTCAGGGCCTCTTTTGGCCCCAGTACCTGGCAGGTTGCCACACTGTGAGTGGTTCTCCATAGATCCTGGCTAAGGGGATGAAAATGAGCAGTCCTCATCTGAACGAGTCTTGGAGAATGGAGGCTGTTCCACGGGAAGGAGAGTCCAGTCTCTGCCCATATTGCTATCTGTTCCCAAGAGCATTTTCTCAGTCTGGTCTTCAAGGTTCCCCACTTTTCTACCACTGTTCTCAACCATCAGCAGGATCTGAACCTGGGGCAGGTCCACRGCGGGCGGTTTGATAAGCAGGAGGGCGTCAGGACACTCTGGTAAAGCACAGCCCATGTCTGGGGAAGAAAGAGCTCCACAGTGGTGGGACCCATGGCTGGCGACAGTCCTGGCCCTGCTGTGCAGGAGTGAACACGCTCAGTTTCTTTACCTAAGCCCTTGACCATCCCGTGAACACAAAGATGAGCCCTTGGTGGGTGGAATTTTTGTTATTGCTGCTTAGGAAGAATAATCCTCACTTGACTTTCTAAAACAACTGTCAAAATTTAAGACTCTGTTCTTAGTACTTTACGTTTCTTCCTGTCATCTTCGTGGCTTCCAATTCCAACAAAACTCTTCCTCTAGCAAGGTCACTTTGCAGGTGGAACCAGTCTCACTCCATGAAGACAAGGGAGATCGTGGGAGAAAGAGAAAAGGGGCTGGAGAGGAAGGAGGGAAAATGTGGCCAGGAGGGAGGTTGTCTTCTAAGTTAAACAAGGTCTTAGCCTCCATCCAGATAAAGAGTTTTACTTTTATAATTACTATTTGACTCATCAAAGTTTTTATGATAAGCAGATTATCTTTTCATTACCACCTCATTTCCAGGAGCTGAGTCTTCTTTTGTACTTTCATGTTGAGATTAAACTATCTGCGAAACGGATCATCGATAACTCCTACAGAGGCCAGTTCTTATCTCCACTCCTGGGGTGCTACAACAGTCTTGTCCCAGACTGCTGYTGTTTGGGGGCACTTACTGTGAACCAAGCACTGTGCTTGGTGGTGGGAGGATCAAGATGAGCTAGTGCCCTCCATCTAGCAAAGGAGGCAGCCAGCCGGGTGGGCAGTCTCCATGCCATGGGAAGGGCTAGGATCGAGGCCAGCACCGGAGGCAGAGAGCACCCAGCTGCCTGGCTGAGCTGCTGGCAGAGGCCTCTACATAGGCCCTGGCCGAGCAGAGCAGTCCCACACCCTCTAAGGCAAGGTCATCAGTGCCTCCGGCTGGAGGAGCTGCCTTCCAGGGCCTTTGGCAAAGAGCAGACTTCTGGGTTGTTCCAGTGTTGTTCTGACGTCTAGTGGGTGAGGATGAGGGCCTTGGCCAGGACACAGGAGACACACACACACACACACACACACACGCACACACACACAGAGAGAGAGAAAGAGAGAGAGAGAGAGAGAGCGCAAAGAGTTACCAAGCCCCAAATCTCAACAGAGCTGAGGCTGAGGAACCTGTAAACCCGTGGGGACGTGTGCCCTCAAGACCCAGCACTGTTGCGGGCACACAGGAGGCACCAGAAAACCCGGAGTTGATGGAAAATGCCAGAAGTCCAACGGGAGGCTTTCCTGGGCCCGGGTTCTGTGCTGATACCACCAGAGGCACCTGTCCTGGGGGAGACACGAGAAACTCCTGCAGAAGGTCCACCGAAGACACCAAGCAGAATTTCGCTGCTAAGGCCAAAGAGCAGGAGCCCTGGGGGGCCCCCCCCGAGGAAGCCCCGTGCTGAGCCCCTGGCATCCTGAGACATCAGAGCACCTTCCTGCGTCCACAGCAGGCGAGGAAGGGGTGGGCTGAGGACACTGGGCAGACCCTCCCCGTGGGGCAGGCGCCCAGGAGTGAGGTGCACCAAGAACACTGCTGACCCTCCAGCACGAGGGTCCCCACAGGTGACTCCKGCGGAGCCGAGGCTGCTGGCGCGGCATAGGAGGCCGAGTCACAAGAACTTCCAGCCAGCGCTCAGCCGGGTCAGACTGACCAGCAGCACAGCATCCACTGTGACCACCTCRACCCGGTGCACTGCCGGTCTGGGCCAAGGCAGGCAGAGAGCTGGCGCCTAAGGACAGCGTCCTCACCTGCCCCTCCCTGCCGCCAGGGTTCCTGCGCGACAGTCAGCGTTGCACAGAGGTCTGTGACGTCAATAAGGACTAAGGACGCTGGTGGAGTGCAGTGTGATGGCGACACCTCACCCTCCAGGCACACTGCACGCGGTGCCACATCCCCTCCCATCCTCACAAGGACGCTGTCCTCCTGTTACTTCCATTTCACAGATGAGGAAACAGGCTCGGCAGGGGGAGTGACCTGTGTTGTCACAGCCAGCACGTGGTGGAGGCAGCATCCAAGCCGGAGCTTACGTGGCCACGGTTTGATCCCCTGCTCCATGGCTTCCCCGTGCTGATAGGTGGCCGGGTCTTCATATTAACGCCATGGTGCAAACCSGCCTCAGAGTCTTTTTATTTCCTTTTATTTTATTTTTATTTATATATGACAGCKGAATGCATTACAATTCTTTTTACACATATAGAGCACAATTTTTCATATCTCCAGTTGTATACATAGTATATTCACACCAATTCGTCTCTTCACACGTGTACTTTGGATAGTAATGATCATCACATTCCACCACTATTTCTAACCTCTTTTTAAGCCCTTTGGGTATAGACCAAGGAGTGGGATAGCTGGGTCAAATGATGGTTCCATTCCCAATTTTCCAAGGAATCCAAACCCAAGAGTTAATGACAAATACCGTTGGAGCCACTGCGCCCTTCCCTGTGGCAGTGCACATTCTGCATGTCCCTCCCTGGCTGCCACAGGCATCCTGCACCCAGTGCATGGGGACTTGGGGACTTGCGCATTTGTCTCTGGGATCCACTCACACAGAGCAGGGGATGCTAGATGACATTAGAGAGATAACGGTGTCATCTTGTCTTCTACAGGTAGACAGAGCCGTTTCCAAGGACATGAGAAGACAGCACACCAGAGGTAAAGTCATGGCACAGAAGATCCAAGTGTGAGAATGTCTACTTTATTTCTAAGATCTTGTGTTGTTGGT